GTTGTGGTTATGAGTGTTTCGCTTCTCTACCTAGGAGCAATGTCGAAGCGTGAATTTTTGCAGCTCTTCCTCGCACTGACGTTCCCCTCTATACCCCGAGCAGGATCCGGGCGGGACCGCTGTGACGTCACAGGGGGAGAGGAGGGGTGGGGTCGATCGATGTTCTGTCGGTCACTGTCAGCGGCGCGCCGGAACTGTCTGACGGCGCCGCTGGTGACACGGCGCACTGACCTTTCGACCGCGGCCCGGCCGGCCCACCATTCGCCCCGCCCGAGTCAATGGCCCGCGGCCCGGGCTGACCTGCGGTAGACCCGACACGCACGGCGCCGGGACGCGGGCGATGTCAATTCCGGCCACTATCGACCTCGGTGGGCTCAAAGAAACGCCGCTGCATGCTTCACAAGATTATCCGGTATTTTAGTTGGTTAATGACTGCTGAGACAAGTGTGGATTGAAGCGTGCGACATGCTACTGTCTCCGTGGAGGCAGAATGAAAGACGACCATGTCGTGTCCTGTCGACACGAGTCGGTAAAATGCCGACATCCAATCGACATGGTGTTTTGAAAGGTGGTCACAACGTTTGGGAGCGTAGCAGCGGCTGAAAATATAAAATTCAGCGAGAGTTTGCTACTGAGGTAGTTTGGGATATGTAGCGCACATTGTACGAGATTTGTACTTCTCTGTCCTTCTCGACGTGCACGCTTGTCAATCAAGTATTTAGCGGAAGGTAAAACACGTGGCCGTGGTAGCGACGTCTGCTGTGCCGGATGTTACAATGTCATGTCTAAAAACTGGGACGATTTAGCGTTTCCTTCAATTACGTATAAGCTACCAGCACTACGTGGTATGTAGTGTCTGGAATGATAGGGGCGAGTAAGGAGCAAAAATACCCCTAGTTAGCCGCATTAAAACCACAACTGCTACAAGAAACATCAGGATTAATCAAATCAGGCACATTTTTGTTGTTGATTGAAAGCATTGTATGTTGAAAACGCGGCGCGAGCAGATAAACTTGTCGGATAAACACGCTGCTATGACAAAAGCATTTTTTCTTCGATTCGAAGTATAGATCATTTCAAAAACGCACATATATTTGTCATTTTTTTGTCAATAGATTTCAACATATAACTGTGTATAAATTGATTACCAAGCCTGAAGCCATTATATTCAAGCTTGCATTGAGCCTTTCGTACAATTGAAAAGGTTAGCTCTGCCCTTGAGGAAAAAAAAAACGGTGGGGCTCATTTCAGCACGGCGAAAGGTCGGAGTCACATGATGGGCGGAAGTAGGCCCACCTATTCAGCCGTCGGCACGTCTCGTGTAGCTCGCCTAAGCAGTAGCCTTGGGGCACTGTTTACACTGGTCCTATGTGAGTGAGGATCGGCCAGTCCGCGCCCACCTACCCAGCCGAAGCACAGCGCTCAGTGTCGGCCTGTCATCCGTCTCGGCTGCCCCATGATGACCGGGAAGTGGACGTTACGCGGCGGGGGACGGCGTCGAGCCGTCTGTCCGTCCAGGTCATTATGGTGCCGCATGCTGGCACGACCAGCTCTTTAGCGAGCTCTTTGTTTACGGAAACCGAGGAGCGCGACCCTTTGACCACGAGCGGTCGACGACCGGCCGATCGTGCGGTTTGTCCGTTCACGGCTGCCTCGACTGACCGACCAGGGCCGTCGCAGCTCGGCCTGCTCAGCTATTCGATCTCCGTTTAAAGGTAGTGTGCCAGCTTTCTTGGACCATATGGAGTTAATGACCCGGATAAGGAGAACCGGATTTTTAGAACTTATCCATACCTTCAAAACTCATGGAAACGTCTTAAATTCTTCAAATTTTGAGTACCCCAGTGCGAAATTCGCCCCGACGGGTTGTCGGTCGTACCCCAACCACATTTCACACCACTATGAACAATAAATGCACACACTAAAATCGCTATTACCGATAGGCTCATCCAATCAAGTTTCGATAAACCCGTTCATCATCATCTCCTGCGGTTTCGAACACGCCTGTTAGGTGGCTTCTGATGCTCGTCGAGGTCGGAATTTCCAAATACGCGTGGTGCGTCGGGCCGCGCGCTCTGACTTCGGCCAAGAAAAATGCGTCAGCTGATCATTGTCATTTCTGCCACTTGCGTGTGGTGTAATGGGGTCATAACTTAAGAGACGGCTGTTTCATATCAATTATTTTACATAAAATCATATTTCAAACCACAAATTAATGTTCGACAGCCAAATTTAAGAAACAATACCAATACAGGCTTACAGTTTAAGGCTCGACATTGTGTTGTCTACGATTAGACAGCTGATAACTCATTCCCGTACGTCGTATGGTCGTAACACTATAATGACCTTTGCTTATTGTCACAAGTGCGCCGCATTCGCGATTGTTGCCTGACGCCTGTTTGCAGGTGAGCCCACTACAGTTGTTATACATATCTAAAAACCGATAAACTTTTAGGCGAAAAAGGCACTATTCCAGGCCCATTTTTGATTTTTTTTTGCGATATTAGGTAAAAACAGAAGCTTCTTATCCTAGGAAAAATAAAACGGGAAATCTTTCAAAGGTGGCACACTACCTTTAATTCTATCACCGCTGATCGTCCACGGCTGAGCTTCCACAGCTGACCACAGCTGTGCAGAGCTGAACGTCTGCAGACCACAGTTGACCTTTGTCATCCACAGCTGACCGTCCACAGCTGCCACAACTGACCTTCCACCGCTGACCACAGCTGCCACAGCTGACGCTCACAGCTGACCGCCCACAGCTGTCCGTCCACAGCTGCCACAGCTGACCGCCCACAGAAGACCACCCACAGCTGACCGTCCACAACTGACCACAGCTGCCACAACTGACCGTCTTAGCTATACTGGACTGCTGCAAGGTGCGCTGGAGATGTGGCCTGACGCGTCTATCATTCTCCTTGTCATTCTTTCTTGCCTTTATCTTTCCAACACAAGGAACTAAGCCGAGTGACGTAATCAGGTGAGATAGCCAGGTGAGGCTCTAGGCTATATGTGATGACTTTACTTCATTCGAAATGACTAAATGTCGTAAAACAAATCACAGTTTTACAGCTATCGACAGTCGACAGAAGCTGGGTATCGTAACTAACACAGCACACTTTGCCCAGCGGAGAAGTGTGTCGCATTTGACGGCACATATTTATGACGTCACTGGCCAGCGGTTGCCATGCAGTAACCGATGCAGGTGGCATGTAGGAAACTTGTTGGCGTATTCTCTATCTCCTCAGTGTTCGTGCCGACCCCCTGGTCCGACCTTCCAGCAAGGCTGTCTGCAATTCAGCTGTCAGTGGTCAGCGCAGTTTTCTGTGTTTGTGGGACAGCCACTTAGCTATAAGTCCTCGGTGAATGCGGTGTGTGGAATCCGTCTCGCCTATTTCATCCATCCTCGGCTCTAATGCATGATATTTTATCGGTTGACATGCAATTATTTTTACTACAGAAGCACATATCTGGCAATCTGCTATTTCAGCAATGTCTGTATCTCTAATCGCACCAAAAATCAAAAGTAGATAACACGAGTCCCAATTTCGATACCATCCGGGTTTGGAGCATAACAGGGTTGAAGCTTCGTTTCAAGAAATAGAGACAACAAAACAAATGCCATAAATACCTGTATGCTTGAAGTAGGCCATCATGTATCATTATTTCAATATGTGTCTTGAAGAAAGCAGACAATTCTGTTACAACATTTTGACATATAATTATAGTTAGTGTCATTATTCTGCACCTGAGGTATATGTAAGCGGTAAGAAACTTATGTACATAAACCCTTGCATACAAAGACAGCTAACGCTCAGCTTTCCACTTTGTGCCTCAAGACTTACCTTTCTCACAATAATACCTTGTTTATTAAACAATTTTTGTTGAAAGATGAGGTGTTGAAGCACTTTTGTACTTATATACCTCAGTGTAGCCCATAACTAAAATGAAACATAAAAACATTCGCTTAGACTTTGTCTGAAAATATCAAATGATAAGTGTTGTGACACGCGATAATGATTTAGTAGCACTGTCCTGCGGCGCTTATAATTTAGTTGCACTGTATCGCGGCGTAAACGAAACTCGCGCGCAATAAGTGTATTTTCGTGTTACGGACACGCGTCAGCTGCGCATTTTCTTTCTTTTGAGCCTACGCGTGGCCGCGGAAGGGCCAGTGGTGAGATTATGATGAATATTGTATATGATTATGACCAGATGTATGTATTCATGAGAGCCAATGTATTGTTAACCGTTTGTAGCGTGTAGAGATTCAGATAGGCCGAATGGTTGAAATAGTGTTCTCTTGTGTTGCAGGATACCTAGTTTGGCACAGTGCCAACTGCCAGAAATGACCTGCTAGACTGTGACGAGCTCAAACCATTCGGAACACCCGCGTCGACCTGTCTCAGACACCAACTCATTTATGTTATATTTTGTTTACCTTCATTCCATCATGCCTGTTTTTATTTTCTAATACACAGCAGCACTGACACGAGCGGGTTGTCACCGAGTCGGGCCTCAGATGGTCACAGTTCCGAATGAAGCTTTCAAGCAGTTTCAAGATGTCAGAATTGTGTGTCAGTTACGCAAGTCAATTCTGAATGACAGTTTCAAGATGCAGTTTCGGAGTGACAGTTTCACATCAGATGTCATGTTATTTGTCACATGTCAATCCTGAATTACCAGATCCTTTCCCTTCTGTCTCAGTATGAAATACTAGATTCTGACACAATTTCAGTCCTGATACATTGTATATATCCTAACATTTGTTACATCACATCAGAATAAGCACACACAGACCACCAGAATTCATCATCATGTCTTCGACAACGAGTCGCCTGAAGCAGAAGCGTGGCCAGATGTTGTGCAGACTTACCAGAGTAAGAAGGCGGGTGTCTGTCCTCATCAGCAGTCGAGGTTCCCGCACACAACTAATGGCCATGATGAAGGAACTCGATGATGCTCTGCAATGTGTTGAAGAAGTGAATGATGAACTAAAGATGTCAGTACCAGAGGATAAGGAGCTACTACAAGAGGCGGATGAATACATAACCTCGGCAACAAAGCAGTATGATGATGCATATGAGCGAGCTCAGGGCTATCTGAAGTCAAGGCAAGGCGAGCCACCCTCGGTGGCTTCAGATGCTGAGAAGTCTCAGGCCTCAGGAGCTGTCAGGAAAGCGGAAGTAGCCCTCCAGCTAAAACAGCAAGAACTACAGATATTGCAACAGAGGCAACAACGGGAGAGAGAAGAGCAAGAACTCAAGAGGAACAATGAGTTGCAGTCTGCAAAGGAAGCTGAAGACCTGGTCAAGTTGGAGGTTCGGTTGACCGCAGCAGCAGAGGACGACCTGAACTGGGACCGGAGGAAAGACTTCGATGGTGAAGCGGCAGCCACTGCAGACCAGGCTCATCGCACAGAGACAGGGAAGAGTACCCATGCTTCACAGTTACAGCAGCCTGAACCGTTGTTCCTGAGGAGTCTCCCACGCATCACACTACCCAAGTTCAGTGGTAGTCCTGGGGAGTGGCCCAAGTGGTATGCTCTCTACCGAACCCTCGTCCATGACCAGCCCCTAAACTCTACAGAGAAGATGGTCCACCTCCAGAGTGCCGTTGCAGGACCAGCTCAACAGATCATCAGCGGCATGTTCTATGAAGGACGGCTCTATGAAGATGCTTTGAGAGCGCTTGAAGACCGCTTCGGTAAGAAAGAAGACATCGTGCAGGAGAACATGAAGGCGATCTTTAGAAGTCCATCACCTTCTTCAAACCAAGACCTGCAGGGACTGGAGCGATTCCACTCAGCCGTGCACTCTGCAGTGACAGTTCTGCAGAATCTTGAGTATGACGGAGACCTCCATAGTACAGAGAACCTGCGCAGAGTGATCGAGAAGCTGCCACAGGACATGAAGTATGCGTGGAGTGAACATGCAGTGGAGATGGAGCCTCGCCGTGCTTCGCTGACAGAGTTCGACCAGTGGCTTGCCAAGCAGGTCAGGATCACCCAGAAGCTGGCTTCAGTGACTCTGACACGCCAAGACCGAAGGCAAGGAGGTTGGATCTCAGGTCCAGGTGCAGCGCAGAAAGCCCCAAGACAGAAACCAGTATCAGAGACGCGAGCTACACTGACCACAGGAACCACCAGCACGAGCCAGACGCAGCACTGTGTGTGCTGTGAAGGAGCTCACCCACTGAAGGAGTGTCCAGCATTCCAAGAACTGGACGCTGATCGGCGAGCTCAACTCGTGCTGAGGACAGGCACCTGCTTCGTGTGCCTCAAGAGAGGACATCGGATCAAGACCTGCGCGTTCAAGAGAGACTGTGGAATCGACGGGTGCATGATGAAGCACCATCAGCTGCTGCATGGCAGCAAACGAGTGACATCACCAGCGAGAGACAACGAGCACAGAGTCGTGGCCGCAGTCACAGAGCGGGAGCGGATCTCGGAGAGCGTGACGTTGCTGCAGGTGGTACCTGTGCGCGTTCACACCGAGGACGGTTACCGAGACACGCTGGCGCTACTCGATCCAGGGTCACAGACCAGCCTCGTGTCAGACCAGCTCGTCCGTGATGGTAACCTAACCGGAGATCAACAGCAACTCTGCATCGAGAACGTAGAAGGTCGGGGAAGCACCAGAAGGACCACCCGAGTTCAGCTGACTCTGAGTCCTCTCTGTGCTGGGGAAGACCCTCACTGCAAGATCTTCGTCCCTGAAGCCTTCTCGGTGCCAAGAGTTAACGTGCGCGTCCAAGAAATCCCTAACAAGATCAGAAACTGGGAGAAGTGGAGGCACCTCCACGGACTGCAACTACCAGATTGCACCAGAGGGACCGTAGAGATTCTCCTGGGTGCAAATGTACTGGAAGCAGTGCTACAGAGAGAGGCGAGGATCGGCAGCGCCGGAGAGCCGGTAGCAGTCCGAACGGCCTTCGGTTGGTCCCTGACAGGCACCATCGCCGGCTTCACTCCTGCTTCGACAAACCATCGACAAGTCATGTTCCTCCTCCGGCAGCAAGTAGAGGAGTGGTGGACCACAGAGGCGTTCGGCACGCGTTGTGACGTGAACGAATCATCTGCAGAAGATCAGCGGAGCATCAAAATCCTGAACGACACCGTCAAGAGAGGAGAGAACCGATACGAGTCCGGCCTCCTGTGGAAGAATGAAGACGTCAAGATGCCGGAAAACCAAGCCACCGCCATGGGGAGACTCAAGAAGCTGGAGAAGAGCCTGATGCGGGATCCCAAGAAAGCTGAAGCCTACGGAGCGGCGATCCGAGCGTATGTCGACGCCGGTCACGCGCGAAAGCTGCCCAGGGAAGAAGCTGAGAAACCGCATGAGAAGCTCTGGCTACTTCCTCATCACGCTGTAGTCAACCCCAACAAACCCAAGCTGAGAGTGGTCTTCGACGCAGCGGCCTCCCATCTGGGCGTGTCTCTCAACAGCGAGCTGATGAGGGGCCCAGACCTCCTCCAGAATCTGGTCGGGATTCTTCTTCGCTTCAGACAGGAGAAAGTCGCGATCGTGGCCGACATCACACAGATGTTTAATCAGATCCAGATCCGTGAACAAGACCAGCCAGCACTGAGCTTCTTGTGGCGTGACCTCGACTCGTCGCGAGAGCCTGACATGTACCGCATGCTCGTCGCGATCTTCGGTGCGAAATGCAGTCCTGCTATCGCGAACTATGTCCTACAGAAAACAGCAGAAGATGGCTGTTCAGGGACAGCGGAATCTCTGATCGCCAAAGAAGCAGTGTCAACTAGCTTCTATATGGACGACTTTGTGAAGTCTGAAGCGTCCGTAGAAGCAGCCAGAACCATGAAGACAGAAGTGACAAGTCTGCTGACCCACGGGGGCTTCAATCTGACGAAGTGGGTTAGTAGTGAGAAGACAGTGCTGTCAGACGTTCCAGACCAAGAACGGGGAGTACTGAAAGAAGAAGACCGCTCTCCAGGGAACCCGTACTGCACAGTGCTGGGATGCAAGTGGATCCCAGAGGACGACACAATCTCCGTCAAGATCAGCCGACTCTCAGTACCTGCCACGAAGAGAGGCGTGTTGAAGCAAGCTGCCTCAGTGTATGATCCCCTGGGGATGCTGACACCCTTCACTCTACTCGCCAAGAAGCTGATCCAGGACCTCTGGCGAGAGAAGTTCGACTGGGATGAGCCTCTGACCGGAGACGAGCTCCGCAGCTGGATCCGCTGGCAAGAAGACCTCAAGTACGTGGAAGAAGTCCGTATCCCGAGATGGTATCGCGCTCAGGGTCAGGAGTCAGAAGCTCAGTACGAGCTACATCTCTTCAGTGACGCCTCCGAGCACGCCTTCGGCGCGATAGCCTACGTCAGAGTGCTGTCGCATGGTACCAGCTACTGTCAGTTCGTCATGGCCCGCTCGAGACTGGCTCCGCTGAGACAGCTCTCCATAGTTCGTCTCGAACTTCAAGGTGCCGTACTGGCAACCAGAGTGGCTACCACCATCAAGAAAGAGATCGACTACAACTTAACCAGAATCTTCTTCTGGACGGACAGCCGCGTCGTGTTGCAGATGCTGAAGAACGAGAGTCGAAGATACCACACGTTTGTGGCTAATCGTGTATCCGAGATCCACGAGTCTACGAGCCCAGAACAGTGGTTCCATGTTCCAGGGACAGAGAACCCGGCAGACCTATGCTCCAGAGGTCAATCTCTGTCGACACTCAAGGAGGAAGACTGGTGGGACGGCCCGCCATTCCTCAGACACAGTGAAGAGCTCTGGCCTCCACAGAGCGACGCAGGAGAGCTCAGTGCAGACTGCAAAGAGCTCAAGCGACCAACCGTCTGTACGCTGCAAGCGGCAAGTCGCGTCCAGACTCAAGAGCTACCTACTGATTCAGCAATTCCGGATCCAGCGCGGTTCTCATCATGGCTGAAGTTCCGCCGCGTCGTTGCGTGGATGCAACGTTTCATCAAGAACGCAAGAAGTAAGGTCTCTGGGACAGCAGGGACCAGTGGACCTCTGCAAAGTGCAGAGATCGAGGCAGCTGAACTCTGCATTCTGAGAACAGAGCAGAGAAAACCGCGGTTCTCATCACCTCAGCACTTCTCCCACCTGTCACCCTTCCATGACAGCCGTGGACTACTGAGAGTGGGAGGCCGCCTCGGCCAGGCTCCGCTGGCGGAGCCCACGCGCCATCCAGTCATACTGCAAGCTGACAGCGAGATCACCAGACTGATCATCACAGACGCGCACAAGCGAGTTCTTCACTCCGGTTTGGAACGAACTCTCTGTGAAGTTCGAACCAAGTACTGGGTGGAGAAGATGAGATCTACAGTCAAGAAGCAGCTACAGAAGTGTGCGTTCTGCCGCAACCGCAGAGCCACCCCTCAGCCACCCAGGATGGCTGACCTGCCAGAGGCGAGGTTTGACATGCGACGACCTTTCAGCACAGTGGGCCTAGACTATCTCGGCCCACTGACAGTGAAGAAGTTCCGCAAGACGGAAAAGAGGTACGTCTTACTGCTTACCTGCCTCGCAACCAGAGCCGTGCACCTGGAGATGACCGTCTCTATGGACGCTGAATGCTTCTTGATGGCATTGAGACGTTTCATCGCTCGCAGAGGCAAGCCTCAAACGATCTACTCCGACAATGGGACTAACATAGTTGGAGGTGAAAGAGAACTCCGGGACCAGATCAAACGCTGGAATCAAGAACACATCACCGACACGCTAAGTCAGAGCAACATCAAGTGGGTGTTCCTCCCGCCTGCAGCTCCTCACATGGGAGGCTCGTGGGAGCGCCTGGTTGCGACCGTCAAACGAGCCCTCAGAGTAGTGCTCGGCAACCAGTGCGTCTCCGAGGACGTTCTTCTCACCGCCCTGGCTGAAGTAGAGTTCATGGTGAATGGCCGCCCTCTCACCAACGTAAGTAGCGACCCACAAGATCCAGAACCACTAACACCCAACCACTTTCTGCTGGGTGCTACTGACGCTCGAGAAGGACTACCTCCAGGAGTCTTCAATGACAGTGACCTAATCGGACGACGACGATGGAGACAGACACAGATCCTGGCAGACCATCTGTGGACCAGATGGCGCCGGGAATACCTACCATTTCTGGCTGACAGAAAGAAATGGAGACAAGAGAGCAGAAATCTGCAAGAAGGTGATGTCGTGCTGATGGCAGACACCTACAACACTCCAAGAGGTGACTGGCCTCTGGGCCGGATCATCAAAGTCTTCCCGGGATCGGACGGGCGAGTCCGATCAGCCGAAGTCAAGACTCGCAGCGGCACCTACACCAGACCCGCACACAAGCTGTGTCTACTAGAGGGCGCTGATGACGCCCGGCGACTGGTGGCGTGTGTGCCGGCCCGTCACTGATGGCGCCCGTCGCGCCCTGCTGCCGGCTGGCCCGGCGCGCGCTGCTGCCGCCGGCTCGTCGTGCGCTGCTGTCGCTGCTACTCACCTGCTGCCTCCGGCGCCCGCGCGCTGCGGCCGCCGCGCCCTGCTGCTGGTTATACCCAGGCCGCCTGGTTGTGGGCGGCGCCCGAGCCGCTGAACCGGTGGCGGTATCGGTCTTCAGAGAGACGCCGGAGACGCGACTGCTGCCCGTCAGTGTCCGTCGTACACTGCATTCCGGTGAAGAAGAGAGACTAATTTCAGTGATTGAGACAATCCGGTGTTTCACCCGTGTTCGCGTAATCCGTGATCGACTCGCCGCGCTCAGTGAATATGTTACTCGTGATTAAGTGATGCGTTTAGTTATTGCGTTCAGACAGCGACGCCTGCTGAGTTAGCATACCAGTGTGTATGAAGTTGGGGCTAGTGGAATGTTGCCTCAAGGCTCGCTGATTCCAGTACCGTGGATGGACCGCTGTGAGCTGCCGACTCTGCTCCTGATGACTGCAGGGTCAACCGTACAGATCAACCGACTGCCTCTACAGAGCTCTCCGAAGAAGTGTTAGCTGGCTGTGTCGATCGCTGTGATTTGTCCCACCGCTCTCAGAAGCACTTGTTGGACTCAGGTCGATATCGTGTTCCCGTATGTGAACACTGGCGGGGGAGGGTGTTGTGACACGCGATAATGATTTAGTAGCACTGTCCTGCGGCGCTTATAATTTAGTTGCACTGTATCGCGGCGTAAACGAAACTCGCGCGCAATAAGTGTATTTTCGTGTTACGGACACGCGTCAGCTGCGCATTTTCTTTCTTTTGAGCCTACGCGTGGCCGCGGAAGGGCCAGTGGTGAGATTATGATGAATATTGTGTATGATTATGACCAGATGTATGTATTCATGAGAGCCAATGTATTGTTAACCGTTTGTAGCGTGTAGAGATTCAGATAGGCCGAATGGTTGAAATAGTGTTCTCTTGTGTTGCAGGATACCTAGTTTGGCACAGTGCCAACTGCCAGAAATGACCTGCTAGACTGTGACGAGCTCAAACCATTCGGAACACCCGCGTCGACCTGTCTCAGACACCAACTCATTTATGTTATATTTTGTTTACCTTCATTCCATCATGCCTGTTTTTATTTTCTAATACACAGCAGCACTGACACGAGCGGGTTGTCACCGAGTCGGGCCTCAGATGGTCACAATAAGAGTTATGTACTTTTACATGATTGTGCATCAAGGACTTCTGATCAAAGTCAATTCAAGTTCTTCCAAGGATGAGCATTCGAGGAGAGGCAGCAAATATGAACGACATATTAACACGCGCATCGACGGGGGGCGGATATCCGCCCCCCCCCCTGAGGTTTTTCGCGAATAGCAGGAAAACCGCGGCGCGAAATTTGGTACGACTATTCTCTTATCAATTTTACACATGGTGTGAAAGTTTAAATCTCCTATCTTTTAAGGTCAGGTCACCAGGTCACTTTGAATGACCCAACCTCAAGTCACTTTTTTGCAACTTTGTCACCGTGCCAGAGCTACAATAGATGTCGGAGACCTTTGAAAGTCTCAGGATGTTATTAGGTCATTAGTAGCTACAATTTATATATCTCGGAATTTTGATATCGGTGACCTAAGGTCAGGTCAATTTCGGGAACGATTATAAGTCAATGGGGGAAAAATCAACTCCCTGTTTTTAAACTAAAACGGGTCGGAATGGCCCCAAATACCATACATGACTTCATATACGATCAACCTCCACTACCTTGAGGTCTGTTTTGCTGTTGGGCAGCTGCAAGGTCATGTGACGTCATCAAAGGTCACCAAAGTTTTTTTGCCAATAACTCCGTACAGGAACAAGATACAGCCGCGCGGATGGTTTCATTGTGTTCAGCTCGTCAAGACGCATCGAATGATATACATGATGACCTCGAGGTCGAGGTTGACCTGAGGTCAACCTTTGACCTTGACCTTTCGAGGTCAACATATATATCATTCGATGCGGATTGACAAGAGGATCACGATGATGCCCTTAGTTTGTTCCTATCTTGATTAATTCGAAACCTATTCGAGAAAAAAACTCTCTCCATATCTAGCGCCACCATTTTGACTTTTTCGACCCCTGTGACGTCATCTTTGACCTGACCTGAAAATGACCTTTGTAAAAATTGTAGACCTTGTCTGTGCGTATCCAATGCCGTTTACCGCATGTCGCTATCTTGCTTTGTTCTCGAGATCTCAGGGGGGGGCGGTCATCCGACCCCCCCGTCGGTACTAAGTTGGCGCAGACCCCCGTCGGTGCGCGTGTTAACCCGCGCCCCACTGGGGTCTGCGTAACACGCCCTACTGGGGGGGGGGGGGGGCTCTTCATAGCCCCCCCTCCTAACTCCGAAACTACTGGGCCGATCGTCAAAATTCAAACGGCGTCTGATAGCCCCGGAAAAACTGTCGAGCGAAACCTAATTTCATTGACCTCGAGGTCACCGATGACGTCACAGGTCAGGTCAAAGTAAAAATTATTAGCATTTTGGCTTCCTCACGTTTTGGGCTCTGGCCGCCGTCTTACAAGTCCGATCAGGCTCATTTTTGGTTCACACACTCGTGAACAGATGCTCTAGATACTCTGAGGGTACCAAACTTGTACTTTGATTTTCAGGTCAAGGTCAGGTCATCACAGGTCACGAAAATATTATGTCATCCGTCGGTCACGTGACACATGTTTTATGGTCCATTTAGGCCAAACATTTCGAATTTGATGTCGTCTGTGTCATTGGAGGTCATTTTAAGTCAAATTTAGCTCAGGTCAGGTCACTTTCAGGTCAAAAAAGGTCAAATTTTGAAGTTATAATTTTTCAACAAAAAAGGTGTCTATTGGATGCAGTTTGAGCTCAGGAACACGATGGTGCTATTTATATTGGCGTACGATGTCAAATTCGTGCTGAAAAATTTATTTGAAAAATTAATAATTGTTAATTTTTTGCAATAATGCGTATAACTTGGCCATTTTTGAAGATATTTAGCTAAAACTTGCTAGAGTTAGTCATAATAATTCGTTCTATCACATATATCCCGGTTTTTTGGAAAAGTCAAAAAGTTTAAAAAATGTAAAAATATAAATTTTGAATTTTATTATATAAAATTTTCGAAATTTTCAAAATTTCGAAAATCCGAGATAGCAGTTTGATAGCGCAATCTATTCTGAGTCCTTTCATGCAAAGAAATTGGATCTAGCTTAAAAACTGAGCTCTTGGGAGCGATTGCCGTGGTTCAATGTTTTGCGTCGAAATCGGCCGAACATGACGTCACTCTGACGTCATTTCCGGCTGACATATGGTAGGTATGAAATTCAAATTGACACAAGGTGTCAAATTGATGCAGCCGAAGGTGCTGAAAGTTTAGCGTCGATACGTCAAGCGGTTTTGAAGTTATTGCAGAAAAACGGGAGGGGGGGCTATATAGCCCCCCCCCCAGTGGGGCGCGGGTTAACGATGTAACGACATAATATTAACGACGTATTGATATGAAAGACATATAACGACAAAAGGTCGGGTTGGGTGCGTGTAAAATGAGTGTGTTCGTAAATAAACGATTTTCAGCCTATTTACACAAAAACGTTTAACTTCCTTCAAAGAAATGAACGAGGCAATACCTACTGAACAGCATCATTGTGTATGTATAGGCAGGGTCTGTACCTACAGAGACATGAATGGCCGCCACATCTTGTATCCGCGGCTTTGTCGGCAACTTACGCCACCCATCACCAGCTGCGAGCCCTGGACAATTAGTCCACCTAGCCCGCGCCCTGGTGTGGGTCTGAGCCACCTTCGCCCTGGTGGGGGGGGGGCCAAAATGACCCCCCCCCGTCTAACTCGAAAACGAAGAGGGCTAGGAAGACGCGGAAAAAAGCAAACGAAAGCCCATAACAAGTACGTTCGAAAGTATTTCAGTCATTTTTTCGCTAAGGTCAATATTGAGGTCGCTAGAGGTCATCATAGGTCAAATTTCAGTGTTTTCGGTGTTGCCGGACATATTCCGCTGTAGCTCGGAAACTAGAAGAGCTAGAGAGCCGCGGAAAAAAGCAATCGATAGCTCTTTTCAAGCTCTTTCGCCAAGGTTCGTCAGATTTGACCTCAGCTCAACGGTTTGGCCCACAGAGGTCATGCAAGGTCAACTTGGCAAATTTCGTTGAAAATGTTTTTAACTATAGCATGCATTCACGAGAAAATAGAGAAACGATTCATGCACCATCGTGCTTGGCTCGTCGAGACGCGTCGAATGATATATAGTTTGACCTCGAAAGGTCATTTTGAAAATTTGACCTCAGGTCAAGGTCATGACCTTACCGAAATAGGTCATGCTGCATATCATTCGATCCGCATTGACGAGACAAACACGATAAACGTCGAACGGAGTCTCTATCTCTATTCAATAACAAGTAAGTGCAGAAAAACCGCTGGTGACCTCTGGTGACCAGGGAGATGACCTAGCGTGACCTCAGCGAGGTCACAAGCAAATGGTTTCACATGGGCTGTGATTTGCTGACCCAAGACACTTCAATAACGAAATATAGGAACAATCACGCCCGATTTAGCTGAAAAACAACTACTTTTCGATTCTCCCATTGACTTATAATGGGGAGCAGCGATGACCTGACCTGACCTTAGGTCACATTTATAAAAAATCCGAGATAGCCATTTTGTAGAGCTGGGTGACATCTTCAAGTACTGTAAATTTTACATCGATCGGATAAAAGCTGTGCCTTTGAGAGAGCTTTGAACTTTTTTAGAGGTGGTGTCAGTTTTGGTGACCTTGTGACCTGACCTGACCTGACCCGAACCCCCCAAAAAAGGACATGATGTAAAAATGTTGAATAAACAGCTATACAAAGTTTCAGGGCGCTAACTCAAGTGGTTTCTGAGTTATCGCTGAAAAACCACAGGGGGGGGGGGGGCCAAAATGGCCCCCCCCCCACCAGGGCGAAGGCTAGAAAAGTGGACACGGAAAGGTGAGTTTGGCGTGTGTTTACTGTGAATGAATAGGCAGCTTGGCTGGGCAGTGGGCACGTTTGTCGCTTTCCCCTGTCCACATACAGACTTGTGTCGTGCGACGACGAGTGTCACTCAGCACGTTAGGCCGCTGCTGGCCATGCAGCCAGGACATTTCCGCTGAGTGATTTGGTATCTTTCATTTGAAATCATTTGCCGAATGCAAGGCTGGGTGCACATTTGCGCAGTTCCGAGCGGCCTGTCGGAAGCTGTTAGCGTCGCTATATGCCATCAACTGCCAGAAAGGCCAACACCTCTGTCCGCAAGCTAAATATGGTCCACGTATGCGCTAAACACATGGTAAACTGCGGACACTGCCACGCATTTCGCGTGTTATGTCTGTGTAGGTGACTCCCAGTAATGAGTACGCCGCGACTTGGTCCACCTTAACCCGCGCCCGGCTGGGGGTCCTGGATTTCCACGCCCTGCTGGGGGGGGGGGTGTTTGAACACCCCCCCCTTCTAACTCGGCTCCCGGGCCACGTAGCGATACGCGGAAGGCGGCGTTCGAAAGAGCGTCAAAAATAATGAGGAAATCACTTCGGTCAATTTTTTGGTCAGGTCAAAGGTCAGGTCACCAGAGGTCATTGAAGGCAAATTTTCGCCGATTTCCAGGTCGAATGTCGAAAATTTCCAAGAAGCCAACGCATAACTCGGGAACCAATAGAGCTACAGCGCCGCGGAAAAGCGCATTCGATAGCCCTATTAACGCCCTTTCTGAGTAATTCTCTCAGATTTGACCTAACGTCAACGGTTTTGCCTGCAGGGGGCAAAAACTGCAAAAATAGCCGATTTTTTCGGAAACAGTTTTTCTGCAATAACTTTTGACCCAAGCATTGTACGAGCTTACTTTTACCGGCATCGTGTTCCTCTCGTCAAGACGCATCGAACGAACTATAATTTGACCTTGAAAGGTCAACTTGAAAATTTGACCTCAGGTCAAGGTCATGACCTTACCGGAAAGGGTCATGTTGCATATCAGTCGATCCGTATCGTCGAGCTGAACACATCTAAGGCGTTTTCATCGCTCTAGCATGCCTCTATCAAAAGTTATTTGCGAAAAACTGTTAGATACCATTCGTGACCTAAGATGACCTCAGGGCATAAACAGGGGTCACA